GACAACTATTTGAGCACACTCTCTCTGGAGTAGCACAAAGGAAGGATACAGTACAGTCTAGAGTCAGAAAATTACTTACCATATTTTTGGATGGCCCCTAAATTTAAAAAAGTTTTAATATCCAATTTAATTTATTTATACTTACATTCAATAACTGAATGAGACAAAAAACCCAAGAAAGTTAAATACATCTTGATCACAGCTGCTATAAAAGTTATGCTGTAGGGTGAAACTGATTCCTTCAAATTACTTGTTCATTAATTGCATTCCATACCTATGAAGTTTAAACTTGAAAGGTAATATGGTTCCAAAAATAAGAAACCAGAACATTCCAAATGATATCCAGCCTCATTAATGAGTTAACTAAATGGATAAGGGAAGTAGTGTCCAGTAATTATTTGTAATTTATTAAATGAATCAGCTATAATGTCTTCAGCATATACACTGACTAACAAGAAGAAACAAGAAAATCAAAAATTAAAGTTGGAAAAACAGTGTGATTCTGACACACTGAACATGTTTATTTCTTGGTTACTTATTATCAAATGTTATGCCAAAATGTCTGTCTCTACATATTCTCACATTTAAAATGTAATACAGTTCATCATAGTCATTAACAATGACCAACATAATTTTGTCTGTCAACAATAGTTATGGTACATAAAAAACACACCCTTAAAAAAAGCATACTAAAAACTGGCTGAGTTAAAACAGTCTAAACCATTCCTATCCTCTGTTCAGAGACCTCAGAACATAATTCATGTTATATTGTGCATCCGTTATCCTTCACAGGACTTGCAAACCAGAAAGGGCTTGAGAATTAACACATTTCTATTATCTCTTGTACAGCCTGTACATGAGATGGCAAATGATGGATGCAATCCCACTGTTTAGATACAAAAGGGGTTGCTGTAACCAAGATAATTTGTCTCAGCAATTTTCAACATTTGGGAATACAACTAGTTCATTTAATTCAATGTTCTAGGCCAGAACATCTCTTACATCTGACATCTTCCTTAACTCATATCTTCCATATCCCTAGCTAAGCATTTAATTAAATACACATAACTTACTATAGCATTACCAAAAAGCCTTGTGTTCTCAGTCTCTTCCTATCTGAAATATTACATCTGAGCTCTCAGGAACCTACTAGATTCAGTGTGTCTCAGTTCATTCCACTTCAATACCAATCCTTATCCTCTTACGTTGAGACAGGAGCTATGCTTGTGACAAGTCAGGGGAACTGAGCACTTCTTGATGGCCTTTCAGATTGCTTTCTGCACCAAGGTCTCACAAAACCAGCCGTCCAACTTGGATGCCTCAACTTACATAAACCTGTTTTTTGGGTCAAACATTGCAATGCCCAGCATTAAAATATCCAAGACACTGCTTGCAGGCAAATTTCTGTGCCCAGAGTACCACTATTTTTAATAGGCCTCCACATCCAACAACCCAGAAGAAAAAGAAGAAAAGCACTTGAACACCATGAATAGCAAGCAACATGGGTGAGCAGTGCTTTGCAAAAGCAAAGGATTGCCAATCAGGTCTGTTTGTTTCAGAAAAGGAAAGTGAACTAATTCCTATGTTTACAAGAACAGCTTGACATTTTCAGTTACTTTCTTGTGTGTGTGTTTTCACTGGCAATGTTATGACATGTCTTAATAACAACACAGGATCAGACCAAAAGTTCACTTTGCTTGGATATACTGCTACAGGTAATTTATAAATAATCATTTACCAATTTGTTCTAAAAGCCTTTTATATTGGATATTCAGAATAACAAAGTTTCTCTAATTGATCCCTTGCAGAAAATCACTCAAGTATGGACTCACTAACCTTCCCTGTAATAAATAGTAGCATACACAACTTAGCTACCATAAAGATGTTTTAATGCTTTTACCAACCTCCTTTGCCATTTGCCTAGTCTTATTTGTGATGGAAAAACAAAACAAAAAAACAAACAAGAGTTCTCTGTCTGTTTCCATAGGCATTCATGTTTTAATCTGAGCTGCTAATCTATGCAATTATTATCAGCAAATATTTTAACAACTTGATCTCCTTTTCACTTATTTTTAAGTTAAACTTTACTACACCAAACCTCTTCTAGCCTCTTCCCATCCCCCTTTGTGCAAAAAAAAAAAAAAAAGGAAAAACTGTATTTGAATGCAGTAGAGTCAATCACAGCACAAAATGGTTTTGAATTGTAATATCTAGAATCAGGCCACAGAGCTTTTAGAAATCAATCAGGAATTCTTTCTTCTTAAATCAGTTTTCTGCCTGATTCCGCAAAAAAAACCCTTACTGCCTAAGTATCACCACCATGCCCCTCTCTGTGACAGTAGTACATTTGGTCCTAATCTGGTTGCTTCTTTTAATATGCTTAGATTGTGGCTTTGCTATTTCCTGCTTTAATTGATTTCTGATCTTTTTTTTCTTTAAGGGTACTAGAGATTTTATGTCTTTATTCCTAGAAGATACATCATCCTTAAATAGATGTTCCTTGTCACCAAGGCTTAAGAAACCATAATTTAAGACCCCAAGTTGTTTTATGGGTGCCTGACAAACATCACTTAGCTCTTACCTCCTGAACACCTTCTGCCTCAAATGATCATAGTCCACAAATAATTAAAAAAAAAATCTTTAGTTATGTATTTGTGTTTTTTAATGTTTGTATGTTTTTCATTATGTATAACAACTGTAAACTATGTGTTACACAAATCTTTAAACAGCAAAATTGTATGATCTTTCTCCACCTTGTTTTGACAGTAAGATGAAAGTGTGGAAGAGGTGGAAGCAGAGGCAAGTGACCTAGGAGGAGTATAGAGCTGCTGTTTGATCATGCAAGTATATGGTTAGGAAAGCCATGGCTGATCTGAAGTTGAATTTGGCAAAAGATGAGAAGAGAAACAAGAAAGGATTCTGCAAGCAAATCAGCAGCAGAAAAACAACTAGGGAAGACACGGACCTACTGCAGAATGGGGCAGGGAAACTGGTGACAAAGGACATGAAGAAAGCAGAGGTATTTAATGCCACCTTTGCCCCATTATTTACCAGGAAAGATGGGCTTTAGGAGTCCTAGGTCCCTGAGACTAGAGAGAAAGTCTGCAGCAAGGAAAACTTACCTTCAGTGGAGGAAGACAGGGAGCACTTAAACAGAACATACAAAAGTATGCATCCTTGTAGCAAAGGACGCCAACAGTATTTCACGATGCATTAGGAAGAGTGTCACCAGCAGGTTGAGGGAGGAGATTGCCTCTACTCAGCACTGGTGAGGCCACATCTGGAGTACTGTGTCCAGTTCTGGGCTCCCGAGTACAAGACAGATATGGACTTACTGGAGCAAGTTTAACACAGAGCCACAAAGATGATTAAGAGACTGGAGCATCTGACACATGATGAGAAGGCAAGACAGGTGAGACTCTTCAGCCTAAACAAGAGAAAGCTCAGGGGGATCTTAAGCAATGTATATAAATACCCAGTGGGAGGGAATGAGCAAGAGGAAGCCAGATCCTTTTCAGTAGCACCCACTGACAGGATAAGAGGCAATGGACAAATTTTCCTGAACATGGGAAAACTTTTTTACTGTGAGGGTGATCAGACACTGCAACAGGTTGTCCAGAGCAGCTGTGGAAATACTCAAAACCCAGCTGGACACAGTCCTGGGAAACCTGCTGTAGCTGACCCTGCTTGAGCAGGGGGTTAGACTAGATGGTCTCAAGAGGTCCTTTCCACCTAAACAATTCTATGATTCTGTGAAATTAAATAGTACCTTTCCTTAGGCCCTCACTTCAAGCAAGATTTTTGTCTATTATCAGTAAAATACAAAAACATTCAAAAGCTGACATGTAGTGGGAATGGAAAAACAGATTTACCAAATCACAGGCCAAGCTACCTCACATAAATTGGATATAATTTTTATTCTTTTACATCAATTACAGGTACAGCAACTAAATAACAAAAAAATGCAAAAACCACTCAACAAATTCCAGTTTTGAGATTACATACACAAGCAAATGTGAAAAAAATTGTGGTACCCAGCCACTGACCAACCTAAAAATGTATTTAAACAAAGAGATTCTCAGCAAGCCCTGGATATAATTGCTTTTCTGCTCTTGACTTCTTCAGATATTTGCCACACAAACGTGATAAATATGTCACAAAAAGCTGTTTGGTTCCTATCAAATTACATCAATACGCAGTAACTAAAAAGCCAAAGCCATTTATTCTTCAGAAATTCAGAGGCATAGCAGGTTTGTAACCAAGATTTTAAACCAGTCTAAAAATACCTGTAACTTCCGTGTTTTAATTTAGTTGTATTTTAACAGCAGACTTTACATGCACAGATCCTTTAATTTCAGTGCTTGATCAAGATTTTTGGGGGTGTTTTTTGTTGGGTTTTTTTAAGCAATTTTTCAGACTTAACATTATTTCGACATGTATGCAATTCCTGATATTCGTATGTCTACTTTCTTTTCATTCTCCCCAGCATTTATATAGTACCTACAACTCTTCTACCATTTCAGTTACCAGGCAATAGACTGTAGCAATGTAACATAAAACTTCCATGAACATAAAACTGCATAATTCTGAAGAGAGAGATGCTTCAGGGCAGTAGAGAACACTGAGATTACCAGATTGGAAACCTGCAATATGTAAACTAATACAGTAAAACCGTTGGGAAAAACAAATTCTGACTTTTTGACTAAAAATAATCTGAGTTTTCAACTAGTTCAAAGCAAAATCCAAGGAGCCCAGCCAATCCTGGCTCCTTTGAAATCAACAGGAACATGCCAAGCTGGCATGGTAATGCCACTGTTGAACTGGTTGCTGCCTCCCAATTTTTCTATACCTATTTTTGAACTGAACAGTCAAACTCACTTAGTCTTTCAATTTACCTTAACTGACATCAAAATAATACACTTCTATATTACCACATCACTTTTATGACAGTTGACTAGAATAAAGGAACTAATGAAAACAAGTAATTGAAATTAAAATACCTGTTATTGAACAGTACACTATGTGAGGAGCAATCTTTTTAATGTCTTCATAACCTAGACCCATTTCAGCCAGTTTCCCAGGGATGTAGTTTTCCACAAAAACATCAGACACTGCTGCAAGCTTTAGAAAAGAAAAGGAGTAAGATTTGTTAATGAGCTTCCAAAAGTTCAATAAATTCCTCACATAACTTCATTTAAAAATGTCACTAATCAAAATGGCTCTAGTCTTTCTGACAAAAGAAAACTTACAAACCTGGTTTTGGCCTGTTAGAATGTGCATCTCTGCAAACTACATATTAGAGATGCTGCATATCTAGAAAGAAGACTGTCAAAAACCTAAAGTGACTAGACAAAACTGTAATATATTATCAGTATCACATCAATTTCCCAAGACTTGAGAATAGTTTACAGAACAATGATCACCTTTATACCTGCACTTAACTTGAGAAAGGGGGGGACGGGGAGAAAGAATGCATCTTTATCCTTCACACTTTCTCCACCTTAGAAATAATTTTATAAATTGTTTTTCATTTTAAAATCATCGATTACAATTACTGTAACAGAAGCCATATATCTCACTTCCTGTATGTAGAAGCAGAATAGGGAGCCCAAAAATTTTATTAAGTTAAAATGAACACCTTATAGTCACCTCAATTAGAATAGTGCTGTCAAGCTCTGCAATGTGACTTTCTCCATCACATATAAATGAATGACCTAGTCCAAAAATCTACTGAAGGTAAAGATTATCATATAAACTTGATGGCTTTAAATTAATTTTTTCTTATAAAAATTATAAATAGATACGCATCTACATGTTTCAATAAGACTAAAACTAATTAAGAACTCCTGAAGCAAGAGAACTACATATTAAAAGAAAAATGTATGCCTTGGGGGAGTTGGAGTTTTTTTGCTTGGTTGTTCCTGTCCCCAGGAATTTAACAAACTATTCCCTTACAGGTACACATGTTTGTGCACACATTTTTAAGCATAACCTACAACATTTAGGTTTTTAATGCTATTTGCAGCTGATCAGTCGCATTCTCTGAAACTACCGTGTCACTGTCTGATTAATATATACAGTATATTAGACCAGGTTCTATAAACTAGTGTCATCATAACAGCAATCACAATCATTTTTGTTCTAGCATGTAGGCTGTTCAGCTGAACTTAAGGTCAAAGAAGCTGCCAAGCCAGCAAGTATTTAACAGGAAAGATAGAAACTAATTCTTATTCAGACAAGGCAGCACACAACTTCTAAATAGTTTAACTGGATGCATGGAAGTGACATTAATCAGAAACTAAGTTTAGCATGCAGTAAAGGTGCATTTTAAAACAGGTTATTAAGTATTTTTGAAGTGGCTATGTCAAGAACCTGTAGGACTACAGTAAAATGAAAAACAGTCTCCAGATTCTTAATAGGCATTGCAGGATTTCAGTGTGGACAGCTGGCTGGTTTGTTAATTCATGATTCCATAGAAGTGAACAGAACATAACTTCACAGAAGTTATTAAAAACCAGGCATTTGTTACAGGAAGGTTCTCAAGAAGATCCAAGTTTCCCCAGAGCTAAAGCACTTGCTAGTAAAAACAGAAGTAGGTCAGACAGATCTACAGCTGTCCCAATCCTCTATGCAGGACAGCAGATCAAGCTACCAAAGTAAGGTAAGGGGAACACAATAGGGGTAAGCTTTTTTTTTTTTAATAGCATGCCTTTATGAAAAATAACTTAAGGGGGTTTTATTTTCTCTTTAAATCCTTCATAGTTCATACATAAATACTCTTCAAACTAATAATACTACAGCCTTAGCTTAATTCATTCAAGAGACAAAATCAGTTACAATTTGTGTATTGCTTTCACTGGTATTTTATAATCTATTCAATTTACAGTGATTGTATGGGCTAAAATGGTTTAAGAGTTGTTGTCCATCTCATACTGAAGAAATATCATCTCCTAGAAGCCACTGAGGAATAAAGCATGACATACAGTACTGTAACATAAAAATCACCATAACCCTGGACTTGGCAACATACATGGGACAGCAGCAGTGCTAAGTGGGGATACAATGACTTGGGCCCAGTTTAGCTATGTATATATTCTCAGAAATGGACATGAATTTCTAAGACATCTTACAAGTGCTGTCAGCTCTGCCACTGAAGTTTTCATGACACTTGCAAATAGTCTTTAATGTGTAAAGGCAGCACCCTGTATAGTACTTTTTTTGATGCTCACTGAACCAAGCATAGGTACCCAGGGTTCTGCCACTGTGAGGAACTGAATTCAGACTCTGATCCAAACAAACTGTATGTTATTAAAACTCAAAGGGATTTTCAGTCTCAATGGGATTTTAAGTCCACTGTCAAATGAAATTTCACACTTCATGTCCTAGAAGTCCTCTGAACATATCACCTGTATTTTAACCTCTACTAACAGAGCAATACAACGCAAACCTGAGTTGGAATACTATGTATTCCAGATAGGACACTGATATGCTCAATGTCTATGCCTCAGGAAAGAAAAAAGGCATCATGCATGCCAAAGTAGTCATTAAATTGAGTAACAAATAATGATGCTACTAACTTTATAAAGCAAACTATTCATACCTTTTGGCAGTTTTGTTTGGGGTTTGGGGGGGGGGTGGGGGTGGGGGGTTTGTTTTTTACAAAAGCTCCACACAGAGGAGAATGTGCATACACACACATATTTGTGTGTGTGTGTGAATAGTTTGCTTTATCAAGTGAGAAGGCACACGAGACATGCTGACCTATCAGCTAAAGGTAATAGAAGGGAAGAAGGAGTGCCATCAGCTCCCAGCAAACTGAATTCTCCCAAGTTCTTCATGAATAAAGAGAAAAGTTAATTAGTTAAGGCTAAATACTCCAGACACAGGCATCCTCAAGGTTCTTAAAATGAGCTTCTGACAATAACTGCTGAATAATGCTCTAAAGAGATATTGAGCCATATTACAACAAAAGGATGTCAGAGCATGGGACTGGTGCGCATACCATCACTGAAGAGAAAAAAAATAATTTTCATTCAGGAAGACATACAAATATTTGGAAGGCAGTTAACAGTAAGCCAAAAGCATTAGTAAGGAAGACAGGGCTACAAGTGACACAGAATAAAGAAACATAAAAAAGACCAAAGAAAAATGTTGTGGGAATCATGTAATCATGTAATTATGAAAGAGCAGACCCTTGGACAAGTATTTTGTAGTGCTGTGCCAAAGGAAGAAAACCAGCCGGGACTCTTGATTAACAGATTTCTTCAGCTCACTTGATACTACTGACTGAATTATCAAGCCTGTGCTTTTGTCATATACCTAAAGACTCTCTACTCCCTTGTTTTTAATATGATTCTAGATTCTGAGATTTGCCCTCTTCTACCTATATGGAATTTACGAGAGGGAGAAACAAAATTTATTCTAACCATGTTACCTTTCTTAATAAAAAAATTATAACCTTATTACTTTTCTTTGTAGGGCTTAGGCTCAGGAGACAATTCTTATTTATGTATGAGTAACTAGTGTCACAAACTTGAATTTCTTCTTGCCATCAATTACTTTACAGACACGAACGCTACTTTTCATAGTAACAAATAAATTGCTGAGTAACACTCAATTCTATACACACCTGTCCTGATGTTACCAGGAGACAAGTGAAGACAAAAGTCTGTTATAGATAACTTCCCTTTACATATTCCTTTTGATAAAACGCCAAACAGAAGAAGTTATATTCTGGTTCCATTTGAGATGCAATAAGGGAATGTCAAGACCTCTGCACCAAATACTTCCAAAAACTATCACTCTAAATCAAGCAGAACAATGAACAACTCCACAAGTAGAGTCACATTTCAATAATGCCTCATCACTTCGGTCCACAATGTTGCTATATCACAGATGGGCATGCCCTTGATTTAAGGAACAGAAAGCTGTAGTGGTTATGAAAGCAACTTTAATATAAAGGATAGAAACTGTAAGAAACAACTTTGTCACAGGAGATCTCCTCATTGCCACAGCTAGCATGGTAAATACTTAGAGTTAGTTCTCTCACTGGAAATTCCATAATGTCACATCTTAGGAACTAACTCTCATACATGCTTGACTATTTCAGTGACATCAAGCTAAGGGAAAAATTAATATTGCTGCTGGCAGGAAGCGTTTGTTTGTATCTCTAAGTACTCTTACTGCCAGCTATCCTATCTTCAGCATCATGGCTGCTCTACATTACAGTGATACAAGAGATCTTACCAGTAATAAAAGGGTGGGAAGCCCAGCACTGAGCTGGCAGGGAGGATGCTGCTCATGTCTTGCATGACAAATGAGGGAGAAGAAAGTTGCTGCTTTGATTTAAAAATTATGTGGGATTTGAACTCAACCAGGCACCTGAGCCTCAAGCACAAAGGTTATATTGCAAATTCTTAAGTCACCAGCCATTCAACTCCACAGACCATAAAAAGGTTCTCCATATTGCAGGCAGAAAGTTATAGATTTAAAACCAGAATCAAGCAGTAATCTTCCTGTACATATGTCAAGATGAGACAAGGGGAACTTCCTAGCCACAAATAGTGGCAATCACATAAGAAGCTTATGCTGAAGCCATCTTTTATCCAGCTCACCCTGACTCATAGGCCCAGCTGCCTTTAACTCTTCAAACAAGTCCAGCCCACACATGCGGAATCAGTGGACATTTTGCATAAAACAGTTTTTCTTTCACCATTTTTAAAGATCAAATAACAAGCTAGCCTTCTTACGCAAGAGGAACATTTTTTTATAGCCCTTATTTAGAATATCACTAGTTTATCCAGAAACACATCTGTATTATACCATGCAAAACTATTCCAAATGACAGTGTCTGTTTCCAAAACCTTTAGAAGACAAACATACAGGTTCATAACAAATCAACAATAAATGGTTCTGTTCTGCAAAGAGAAAAGGTACTGCAGAATCCTTGGCTTATAAACTGCAAAGATTTCCATATAAAGCTGACAGGGAAGAAAAAAGGTCAAAAGTATCAGACAACTTTATCTATTTCCATTTCATGCAATATTCCCAACAAAAAATACTACCAGATAAATTCCACTTATTGCAGGACACATACAGCCTCACTGTGAAAAAGTGATAGGAACTGATATTGAAACAAACTAACAGAAGCCAGCTCACCCTCTTAAATGCGTTAGTACTGCAGAGTTAAAAACAGAGCACTAGCAAGTAGCAGGTCTTACATTTCTCAATAAATAAAAAGGGATGACAAAGCACAAGTTTCACAGAATGTGGAATGGGATGTTTTTATTAATTTTTCAATGGAAAAATGGATCACCCTTAAAAGACTCTTACATTCTGAACAAGAAAACAAATATTAAGTTTGACCTACAGGACAGTATTTCTCAGAAATATGCAGAGCAACTGAAGTCATGAATACACAATAACATTCAAAAACCTGCAAATACTGGAGCCCACTATCTCCTCTTTGTAAGCTGCTCACTGACTTCATTAGATCAGTCCAGCTTGACTCTTTCTAATGAAGTACTACAGCAAGATCAAATACAGCAACAGTAAAAGGAAAGCACTAGTCTGTTATGACCTTTTCCTCACAATATTTCATTTGAAGCTTCTGATGACATTTTCATGTAGATTTTATATCTATAATCATTAGAAATTACACTGAACATTCAGTCCAAAAATCAGAGTACAGAGGCTATATACTGTAATTTAACAAATTTACTGCACACATTTTTAATTATCGGATATCAAATAAATACTTGAAATGCAGAGTTTATTCTTTATTACTTAGGATCAAAACAATACAAAACAGGCACAGTTTGCATGCTATCAAAACATACCTCTCTGATTAGCTTTGCTCCTTTTGAATCCTTCATGTTGATAGCTATACTCTGGGGATTAAAAAAAAACAACAGTAATTTATGTAAAAGCCCTTCTGGTGATTGTCAGCCTCTTCTAGAGATAACCAACAGTCAAGTTTCACACCACAGCTAAATCAATTAAGTAAATTTTAACACAGACCCCACCTCCCCCTGCAAAAAAAATTCTGCTGGTAAAACAAAGTGAACTGTCTCACCAATGGATCAGAGAAGCACCAAAACAAGCCTGACAAATGTGCAGCTGGGAGCTGCACTGCAGTCTGTTCACTGTATGTTTGCACAGCACCTACTACTGCAAGTACATGTGGGGACACCACAATCATTTGTTTGAATAACAACAAGCCATTAAACAGCTCAGACATGTCACGAAACCATCTTAATCCTGAAGTTTCACAAGCTTTAGCCAACCTAACTGTGGTACGATGCCTGCTCTCCTCCAGCTCCAGCTGATGCAGATCAGGTGAGTTGATGCACCTGAAAAACCTGATCCTTCAAATAAAATAACCCTTAATTTCAACAGGGTTAATTTTCAGTCAATTTGTACCAGCAACTGAGGACTGGCAGGGCCACTCTTGCTTTTTGAATTTGCCTCAGCTGACCACAGCACCACACCAGAAGTTTGCAGCCTTCTTTGTTCAAAAGAACTCTTTGTTCTTCTCCTGAAATTTATTCATAACTTAAGGCCAATTTAACTATTGCTCAGTTACATACATTAAGAATCAAAGTGTTATGTCTTCAGTTGTAATTATAGAAAACTTAGGCTAATGTTCAATACCACACTCCATTTACCTTTTTATTTCTATTGACACTGAGAAAATAAACACTTTCTGTTCCAGCAAAAGGTGGGCCCCAGGCTCTTGTATCATCACCAGCTCCTGAAAGAAATACCATCACATTTTCATAGCTGCCCAATATTATACTGCCAACAAATAAAAAGTTTTCCTCCCACATCATATTTAAACCACCTAAGCTTCATCTAGCAGGCACAACAAAAATTAGTTTAATATGTATATTTTAGGATATTTATTTCAAAAAAACCACCTAAAAGTGAATGTGATTAAGCAAAGTGAACATAGCGTTTGCTAGTGCCAGGATTACTTTTAGGCTTCAAAATACTAATAGAGCCACACACCACCAATGTATTTGTGGGTTTTTTGGTTGTTTTTGTTTGTGGGTTGTTTTTTTGTTTTCCTTTTGGTTTGGGGGGGCGGGGCACAGTGTTTGTTTTTAACTTAAAGCAGAACTACAATGCCATTCTTTTAGGCCATCCGGAAGAATTTAGTAGAAGCTCTTGTCCTGCATCAAGTCACAGAGGGCACATGGTTAACAAACTATTCCTGAAACGCTCTGAACCCAACATCAAGATACCACTGATCAGCAATAACTTCTTAAGCTGCATGCTGCAGAACACCAACAAAAAGAAGCACTTGCTATAGCTGGTACAATCCCCCACCTCCAGCCCTTCCAGATATGCTGCTGCCTTACAGAAAGGCAAGATGGCATTACAGCTGCTGCAGACACTGATGTCACTGTATCATTTATGCTTAATTTCCAAGTTTAAACCTTTCTTAAAGGTCACAAAGACTGGCAATCTATTTTAATTAGAATTAAAGCTAAATTTAAATTCAGATATAATCATGATCCCAAGTGCTAGCAAGCATGCACATTCCTAGATTTATTTCAATATCTAGACTTTTATCTACTTGCTAACTTCACAAGTGAAAACTTTCTGTAGCGAGGCAACACAGAAGACTCTTTGATACTAGCATAGGTACAGAAACAAGCTGAAGGACCTTTGGTCTTACACAATATAGCCACTGTCATAATTATACTATGGTAATACAAAGTCTACAGTCATTTAAGATCAACTGTGGCAGAAGTTATACAAACATATAAATTATTCATCAACATTTGTCCTGTTTAGTGTCTCAAAGAACAATTTTGGTTCAAGCAGGAAGCTTGGGGAAAAAAAAATACTCCCTTCTGTATGTTACCAGTTCAAGCCATTCAAAACAACACACTTCTGTAATACTTTCCATGTAGGATGCTAGTGTGGCTACTATCCTTTATGGATTAATACTCCTGTGAAAGTAGACATCCTCTCACGTAAAGAGCCAATCACTCACATTCTAAAATGTTTGAAACTCAGAATTCTCAGGCTGCCCTTCTTCACAAAACAAAACTCAGAGCTGGAATGCAAATCTCCAAAACCATTACTTCATACTTAACCACTGACACTGCTCCATTCCTACTACCTAAATACTTGGAATAATACCGCTGTCAGTCTCATCTGATAGTACAAAATTGATGCAGTAATTGATTGTCACAAAAGTGAAAATGTTTGAAATTTAATGTTTGAAACAATGGTGAGTGATTAAGGATGACCCATAGGTTGATGTGACAAAACTTTTGTTAGATATTCAATGTTTTGTTAAATGTTCAAACATTCAATATTTCCTATTTAAAATAAAAATATATGGAATGTAATATGTTTTAGTATTTCAAGTGTGTAAGTGTACCTTCACCAGCTCTTTTCAAAACTAATAATACCAAATGAGAGAAACTTAAAATATGGAAATTAAAGAAGGAAAAAAAATACCTGACATAACGTGCAGCTGCTATGGCATAATTACATGCCTCAAATGCATAATGATGCATAAAACTGAAAGCCAAATGCAGGGAATATTTCTTAAAAAGAACTGAATGCCATGCAATTTGTTATTCTTCTTGTATGGTCTCACGAACTAACAAGTGTAGCTATTCCATAAGAATGAAGCATTTTTTTTACCATTACCCAATCCTCAACAACCCTGAATAAGAAGTACATGTGCTGAGTGGAAAAAAAAAAAATTGTGTTATGCTAAAGTACACAAAAATAAAGTAAGTACTATTTATAAAGCTAATGACCCAGAGTCCAATCAGACTCAGAAGGAGCTACACAAGTTTCTGCATCTGAAAACACACACTTGAAGATTGTTAACCTCAGACACTTTCAGCACTAGTATGAAGATTTGCATGCAAATTCAGAAATCTCCCTTTTCCAATGAACTCCCATCTCCACCTACACAGGGATATCAGATCCCAGACTTTAAAGATACAACTACCTCATGCAGAAAATAACTTTTATCACTTTGCACAATTCCAAAGAAAGATTTCTCTGACAAGCTAATTTTTAATTAACAAGCTGCAATTGTACTGGAATATTAAAACTACTCTACCAGTGTCATGGTTTACCCCCAGCCGGCAGCAAAGCACCACACAGCCACTCACTCACTCCTCCCCCACCCAGTGGGATGGGGGAGAAAATCAAAAACAAGTGAAACTCATGGGTTGAGATAAGAACAGTTTAATAATTGAAATAAAAATAATAAAAAAAAAATTGTCGTGGTTTAACCCCAGCCAGCAAATAAGCACCACGCAGCCGCTCACTCACTCCCCCCCCATCCAGTGGGATGGGGGAGAAAATCAGGAAAAGAAGTAAAACTCATGGGTTGGGATAAGAACGGTTTAATAGAACAGAAAAGAAGAAACTAATAATGATAACACTAATAAAATGACAAGAGTAGTAATACAAGCATTGCAATGTATAAATCATGCGCAGTGCAATTGCCCACCACCCACTGACAGACACCCAGCCACTCCCCGAGCCGCAATTCCCCGCCCCCACTCCCCCCAGTTCCTAAACTAGATGGGACGTCCCATGGTATGGAATACACCGTTGGCCAGTTTCGGTCAGGTGCCCTGGTTGTGTCCTATGCCAACTTCTTGTGCCCTGGCTGGGCATGAGAAGCTGAAAAATCCTTGACTATAGTCTAAACACTACTGAGCAACAACTGCAAACATCAGTGTTATCAACATTCTTCACATACTGAACTCAAAACATAGCACTGTACCAGCTACTAGGAAGACAGTTAACTCTATCCCAGCTGAAACCAGGACAATAATATAATAATAATAATAATAATGAAAAGGAAGATTAGAAGAGTGAAATATAAACCAAGACAGACAAGTGATGCACAATGCAATTGCTCACCACTTGCCGACTGATGTCCAGTTAGTTCCTGAGCAGCAATCCACCCCCACTCCCCACCCCAGCCAACTCCCCCCAGCTGATATACTGGGCATGACATCACATGGTATGGAATACCCCTTTGGCCAGTTTGGGTCAGCTGCCCTGGCTGTGTCCCCTCCCAACTCCTTGTGCCCCTCCAGCCTTCTTGCTGGCTGGGCATGAGAAGCTGAAAAATCCTTGACTTAGTCTAAACACTACTTGGCAACAACTGAAGACATCAGTGAGTTATCAACATTCTTCTTGTACTAAATCCAAAACCACAACACTATACCAGCTACTAGGAAGAAAATTAACTCTATCCCAGCTGAAACCAGGACAACCAGTCAAAATGCTTGCCAACCCCACTAGATCTGTATAGTATTACACAAAAGCAGTGCTAACAAAACACATATATATTTTAAATACTCATATTACCTTTCTTCCTTGTAATAGTAAGGATGAAAATAGAAGGTGGAGTTTCTGTTTCAAAAATTAAAGTGCCTGTCATTTTATCAGTATTCTAATCCTGAGTAGTAAAATGTATTCCCATTTAAAATTATTTAAGACATGTTGGCTCAAAGGGAAGTGAGCTGAAGATTCTGAATTCCCAAATGGGAAAAACGTGTTTTCCATAAATCTTCTGTAACTAATTGTTGGAAGGATTTGTATGTTTGTCAAATTTTACACGTCAAACACTACACCTAAAACCCTGTTTTAACCCTCTCACCACGTTACAAAGAAACACCATACACCTAAGCATTCACAAGCCCAATTTAAAATCTAAGCAAAGTCCAAACAATTCAAACAAAATCAATTTAGTATTGAGTGATGGAATAAGGCACTTTTGTAAGGGGTGACTCAGAACCGGTTTGTACATTAATATCTGAAGAAGTTGCCTGACCTTACAACTTCAGCTTTCTCACACTCTTTTCTAAATATAGACACAGACTACTTCTGATCAAAACACACATATGTGGAGCACAGTGTTAAGCTTTAAGCAAACAGATCATACGTGTATAAGCAAACCTACTAATACCTAGCTCTCTACCATGCCAGAAATAGTACTAGGATGTAAAATATTCTCAAAACTCGAAAACTGCTGGCTCAAAAAAAATATACAAATACCTACATAATTATTTCTTAGCATAATACCATACGCACACTCTCACCAAAAACATACCATTACCAAATAAAGGTAGTATTGTCTTTCTAAATATTTTCAGAAGTTTTCAATCTTGCATTCTCAGTCATATTAAATTACATAAAAAACTATTTGTTAAACTACCCCACATTCTTATATCTAAAATAGATAAACAAAAATCTTACCTGGTCTTTCCACTTTGATAACTTCAGCCCCTAGATCTCCTAAAATCATCGTGGCAAAGGGCCCTGCAAGCACCCTGTAACATTAAAAAAGATTGTTTTCTTAGTTTTTCCTATCAGAATATTTGCATCTAGACAGACTGTTCCAAATTACAGACAAAACACAAACCTTGTTAAATCAAGAATTTTCACAGCATCCAATGGCTTTACATTACTAGCACCTGACAAGAAAGAGAAAACAGTTACTTACTCCTGAATTATTTTTTTTGTAAGATGTTTCTCATTGGTAGCCTAAAACACTGTTTTTATGACACTCTCCCATCACCCTCCCCAAATAAAGGATAATAAAGCTTTCTGCACAGGTAGGTTATCAGGAGTATGTTAAGTTAGTAAATCCTTTCAAAGTTGGAAAATGTTATGGTTAGCATTGCAGAACCTATTCTAAACACCTAGCAATTCTACAATAAAGCTACTTTTTAGAGATATTTTTGTATGTTCCTTCCATAAACACTCATATAGCTTTTAAAGACTAATCTGAAGAAAGATCCAATAAAAGCATAGCAAGCAACATCAGAACGACACAAACTAAAACTAATGGGTAGCAGACCCACGCGAAGCATAGTATCCTCACAAAGTGTTTTGATCTGTGTAGACCTATGCACTTGCATCACACACACACACACAAAAAAAAAAAGAGTATCTGCATTTCAAAACAGAGGTTACAAAACTGAAGACAGAATACATGAACTGAGGAAATACTCATTCTATCTTTAACTTTCAATGGCAGTCGCATATGCAAGATACTAAGAAATCACAATGCTTTCCTCCTTTCCCTCACCCTTTCCAACATGAACAGCTCTAAGAAACCACAGCAGCGGCAGTAAGCGTCACAGACAGAGCAAGCAATCTCATAGTCTAGACCACAGGTTTACCAACTCTCTCTTTGGTGACCTTGGGTTATCTTCTGCTAACACAGTGTCTTTAATTGCAGGCTGGGGATGCAAACACTTCACAACCCCATGTGGATGGTAATTTCATCACTATTTGGAAAGTGGTCTCATACCACACAAAAAAAAAAAAAAAAGCACCTAGCCAATAACACCACAAAGATTACACAATACTAACCCATGGTAAGCATATCTTTTTGGTGTTTGTCCAGGTAAGATAAAGATGTAAAACATGGGGAAAAAACACTACAAAAAAAACCAAGTAATTCAAGCACAGACCTCCTTACAGAACACGAAGGAGAAAAGAACCACAGTCCCTCAAAGCATGCAGGGCAGTGTGGTGTGTCTCCTGAGTAATGCAACATTGAATGCCTGTGTCACCTGCTCCACACTCCCTCCATCAGACCTGAGCAACCCTTCAGTCACCCCCGTAACTCTCCCTCCTACCTTACTGTATATATGGTAAGAAGGAGATGGATATAGAGAGATATACATAATAAAAAAGCTACAGAGATATGAAGCAGCATTAGGAATTCAAGACTTCTGCTAAAACGTTTTCATTCACCATACTGCTCTCAGTGAGAACACTTGCATCCCATTCTTCATCTTCAAAACATTTTCCTCAATTATTACCAATCACTCCAGAGGGATATGATCTTAACATGTTTTGGTTTTTAATATGATATGCAGACCAAACAGCATGTTGAAAACAAGCTCATCTAGGACTGCCCATCTATTTCGCACACTTCAAAGCCTTTGGGAAAACTCAGGCTGCCACCTCTCTTCAATGCTGCGCACCTCAGTGAAAGTTCCAAGAAAATACTTGTGCTTGTGCCACGTAAACACCACAGATCCTCCAGCGTAACCTCAATTTTATCAAGTTGGCTCTAGTTGAGCAAACACTTAAGCGTATGCTTGTCTGTTAAGGAACTGAGTGCACCACTTGCTTCATGATGGCATTACTCTGCATTTACAGAAAAGAGGTAAACAACAGCTTTACTGAAGAGCACAGCTCCCTAAAAAAAAAAAATATATCATTTTAGTTAACAAAAAGGGTCCATCTTCCTCTATTCTTTCCACACCTTTTAAAGCTCCACTCTCCCACTCAATAGCTCACTTATTCTCCTCCTGAGCCAGCATTTAGTGTTACTTATATTTCTTACAGACACACTACCAGAACAGCAAGTTTTCAGAGCCAACAGGTTCTCTGCCTGGGCTGAGTTGCAGGAATCCATAAAGATATTTCTCAAAGAAGCCTATAAAGTGTTAAGATTAGTCTGTAAATATGCATTTAAGCATAACTAAGACTGATGAATCCTTACTAATTATTATATCGCTCACATTATGGTAACATCTAAGACTCCATTCAGGGACTGGGACTCTTCTATAGTTGGAACAGAACAGGGGAGTACAGTTGTTGTTTCAGAGACAAACAGACCATTGTGAATTTTTTTTTAAAGTTGGTAAATAACATTGATGTCCACAATGATGAAGAAACACGAGAAAAAGGAGAGATCAAAACCTTGTGTTTGAAAAGCTGAGAAAAAAAAATAGACCTGTTAGCCTCTTCAAACCAGAAGAGCCCAGATATTCAGAAAAGAAAATATATAGGACCTAGACTTGCATTCAAGCAAGACGCTAATTTGCTGAAACAATTACAATAGAAAGCCTTCTGACTATCAGAGAAACAGCAGTTTGGGTACACTGATCCTGAGTACCAGAGCACTACCAACCCCTTATTGCAGGAACAAAAAGAAACAAAACCACACCACAAACAGAAGAGATCAGAGTTGATCAGTATTGACCAAAGCGTCTCCTGTTGTGGTGGTGGTTTGGTTTTTTCCCCTCACTAGCCTCCTATCAGGCACATACCCAAAGTTAAACTTTTCCCACAGAGTGTTTTTTGTTGGAATTCTGGCTCAATAGTCTAAATTCTCTAAAATGTGAACTTACATTTTTCTCTTGTATTTTTGCTTTTAATTATTCCAGTAATTTGATGATTGAAAGAAAAATCCACTCTCTCAGCTTTAACTATATCCTATTTCTAAACTCTTTATTCCCACAATGCTTGAATTTACTGTAAATTAGACAGTCATATGTATCTTTTATAAATAACTTTGATGAAGAATAGATCAACTGACTCTCAATATGATTTAAACTCTTTAGTTAAGCTCAGAAGGTTGTCCCAAGGTTGGTACAACATAACAATATGAGTAAGCAACCAAAAGAGAGATCCATCTATAGAACAGAAATTAATTTGCATGTCATATTCCCCCGAAAAAGCTTTCCTTCACACTTGTAAGTGACAGAAGAGGGCACTAAGAAGAGAGCTTATTAGTACATTTAATATTCTGGCACCAATGCAAATTAACAGTAAATAGATTCTGTTCCAATTACATCCAGTTCCGGAGGACATCACTCCTTAAGTCTATTGTCTCTACTTTGATTGCACAATCAATATTTTTTTAATTTATACATGCAGCAAGTTACCATCAGATCCATCACTACCATGGATTAATTCACTATCGATAGGTACACTCCAAGCAGGGATGCACTTGGTATGTTCGTCTTGGGAAACAGATCTCCAAACTTCCTTCTATTCTAGCGCAATCAACACAACTGGTAATATTTTTCTATGTTTTTAAGTGAGAAATCTGAAAGCCAGAGGAAAATTACTTCGTTGCAGCTCGGTTTTATTTTTCTTCGTTAAACAAACAAACAAACAACTGCATTAAGTCACGAGTCTTGTAACCTTTGAAAAAATCAGCCCTAGAACTGGACAGCAGGCACTTCAGCCTCCCCCCGCTCCCCATTAGCCGAAGCTGCCCGCAGAGCTAACCCGCTCCCTGCCACACGCCAAGCGGGGCTGCCAGCAGCGCGGCGCGGCCGCCGTGCAAAGTCCAGCTGCAGTTCCCCTCGGCAAAGCCCCGCAGCCCGGCAGGGAGCGGAGCAGCGGACCGAGCCCACGCAAGCGGCCGCGTCTGCCCCAAGCGCGGCGGCGAGGCGACCCCGGCTCGCCGCCCCACGACCTCGATCTCGCCCTGGCGCCACAGGCCCCGCGGTGCCGGGGAAGGCAGGGCCAGGGCCGGCAGCGAGCTCAGCACCTGGCCACCGGCACGCTGCAGCCCCGTCCTCCTCCTCACAGCAGGCCACGGGGCGGACCGCGGCGCTGCGAGGCAGCGGCGGCAGCTGACCTCCCTCAGGTCTTCATCGTCCCTCCCGCCACCCCAGCGAAACGGCTGCGACCCGTGCCCGGGCCGCTCGCGCGCCTGCGGCACCGCCGCAGAGCCCCGGCGGGACTTGCGCGGGCAGAGGGGCCCGACGAGGCGAGGGAGGGAAGGGGAGGCTGAGGAGGAGGAGAGGGGCGCGGCGCGGCTACCTGCCGGGGGAGCGCCTTCGCCCCGCGCCCCGCCGCCGTTCCTAGGGGAGGCGGAGGCGCCGCTCAGGGCGCCGGGGCGGCGCGGCGAGGCGCTGCCGCTAGCAGCTGCGGGGCGAGGGCTCCTCCACAGCCCGCCGCCACAGAGGCGGCTCCTTCTTCCCAGCCCGGCGCGCAGCATCTCCGCGCGCCGCCGCCCGCGACTCGAAGCAACGCCGAGCGCCCCGCCGAGCGCCGCGAAAAGGTGCGCGCTTCGCCACACCGCGCAGGCGCCGCTCCCCACCGCCCCTTCCCTCCTCCCGCGCCCGGGTAGAGTGCCAAATTGTTCCCGGCTTGGGGCGGTGCGCAGGCGCGGGGCGTGGCCTGCCCGCCGGCGCCGTCCCCGGTTTTTCCCGCCGCGAGCTCTGGGGCTGCCGTCGGTCGGCGTGGTCCTCCCTCCGCGGCGGCTACTTCTCCTAGGAAGTAGTCCCCGTTGAAAGGGTGCCTGTTTTTCTTAGCGTGCAGGACGCAGGCGGCTGGACTTCGTAAGCAGGGAGGTGTCCTGCAGGTGTTGCGGCAGTAATTCCAGTTCCTGTATGGAAACCTCGCTATCTGTACAAAATAGACTTCGGGGTTTTTCGCTGCGACATCTAATTCCTGGACAAACCAAATGGTTGACAGCTAGAAACTTGTACTGCCAGTTCGGTGTACGGACTGCGACATAAAACGTTGCCAAGATGGAATAAAAGTAAAACACATCCCCACAACGGCTTCCCGCACTGACAAGGTAGGCGGTTGCACCGGTTGCCATTAAATCCTCTCGCTAGCACGAGGCAGATCCTGTATCTCAGTTTGGCTTCACTGAAGGTGCAATGCTTGCTTACACTGTGCGCTATATGTTCAGGTGTATATAGCAATGGAAGGGTCAGCTTGAAATGACCTTTAAGCAATTCTTCCTTGAGCTAAGTGCTTTCAGACTATTTTTAGTTTGTGTTAGGACAGAGTGGAAGGCTTGTAACAGGAACACCGTGATGTCTTCTTCCTCTGTGATAGGATAAAAGAGCCTGCACAGAGGTTCACTATTTCCTTGTGAGAAATAGGCTGTGAGGATAAGACAACAGCTGCATCTCAAGAATAGCTGAAACTTCCGACTGCTTGAAAATGAGCATTACGAATAGCACAGGCTTAAGAAGCACTGCACGTCAGACGGCCTGAATGGTGAGGAGGAACGTAGAGAAAATCTTCTGCATGGCAGGTTTGTTGAGCGGACATGCTATGTGTAATAAAAAGCATGACACGGATGCTTAAAAACCTAGAAGCAATTAGCATTCATCAACAAGAAGAAATTCATCAGCAAAACTATCCCACTATAACTCACCATGTGTGTAACAGTACCTACTTCTAATTTGTTTGGTGTGAAAAGGGTTTAAATTAAATGAAGCTGTCCTTTTCTGGAATAAGACTGATCAGACAAATTGATACTTGCATTGATAAACTGTCTTGTGTAGACATGGCATTCCTTGTGTGCATAATAATAATAGACAGAAAATCGGTCTTCTAGAGAAGATAAAACAGTAAAGGATTACTCTCCATTTTAGAATTGCAAGGATATTGCCCCAGTTTTCACAGGGAGATTGTAAAACAGAGTGGAGAGCTGAGTTCACTGAGAATATAAAGTTGGTTATCGCCATTGCAAAAAAAAAAAAAAAAAGCAAACAAACCAACAACAAAAAAACAACCAAACAAACAACTCTTTAAAGCCAACGAAAAGCAAGACTGGTATACAAACTATAGAAATACAGTGCTTATTTTATTGGCTAACTTTTGTTCACTGCTGTTCTGAAAGCCCTTTTTAACTTTCTCACTTTGCAATATCCCAAAACCAAGTAGCTTTGTTGCACCGGTGGAAATAAAATTAAAAAAAAAAAAATCTTTACTATTTTTTACTGAGGTGTTGAGGATTTGCATTAACATAGCTGAGAACAGAGCAGGAATGCTAATAAATAACATTGCTAAATTGAGTTTACGTTACACAATATGAGCTTCTCCTCCAAAAGACCATTTTCCCATGAGTTTGTATACGTAGGTCTCATTGCCTGAGCTACCACTCTGCTGAAGAATTGCCGACAGTTCAAACTGATTGTATTGGGTTTGTGTGGCAAGGTTTTGGTAGTGGGGGGTTACAGGGGTGGCTTC